CTTGCCAGCCCGCTCAGAGATGTGTATAAGAGACAGCCACTGCTTCTACTTAATAAATAGTTATTTTTTACTAAAAGAATGGAGTTAAATAATTTAAAACAGTTCAAATTTAACCTAAATTTGGGTTAAATTTTATTGTTTTATTTAAAAGTAACCATATTGTGTTAGTTAAAAATAACTATTTATTAAGTAGGAGCAGTGGCGACTTAAATAAGGTTCAATTTGACACAATAGATTTAACAGTGAAATTATGTATATTTATGATTTTGGGTGGGCCTTGGTCAGGCATCCCAAATTTTCGGCTCTTTACTAAAGAACCACCTTAATTCGATAATGAGCCAGATAAAATCCACCCTGTGGTGATTTTTATTCCGCTGGAATTTTGCTTCGGAGTATCGATCTCGGATGTTATTTAATCTGAAATTTATATAGGTATATAGGTATGCGGAAAATTAAATGTGTGGCACACAGTTATGTTACAATCGAAATTGTTGTAATTTTTCGTTGTTTCGGGCGGGTTAAGTAAAATTGTTAAATTGCTTCACACTTTCAATGTGCAGTTACCTGCGATTCGTTGCCGTCATTTGGGAGGTAATCAATTGGCGACACGTGTTCAAATCGACAGTTGCGCAGTCAAGATATGCGTTGGCCTGCCGAGGTGAAACACCACACGTCGAACGAATCGAGTGAACAATTAATATTCGGTAAGCGACATGGAATTTCGGTTTCAATGGCCGGATAAACGCGACCTCGCCCCACTGATGTTTGCGCGCATCGCGAATAAAATCAGATATATCGGAACGGTCGTAAAAAGATTCCAATGATAAATATTAGACCGCAAGATTGTAACTGATCGTAAAATGAAACTATTCCGTGAAACGGTTACGTATTGGTAAAAATGCTATATAAATCCCTTTAGATTGTCATGCGAAATTGCATAGTTACTTTCACGACGAACGGACATTATGAAGGATATCGTAAAATAAATTTTATTTCTTTCGTTTGAAAGGCGATTTCGCACATCTAGTCACACATACTTTTTTTTTAAGGTGTATGAAATTCTACACGGAAAGAACGATTTTGTTGAAAGGTCTAAAAATTTTGCTAAAAGTAGATCTAAAAATAATTTTTTATTAAATCATTAAAATAATTTATTGAAATGTTAAAACTGATAAGCATTGTTATAAAATGTTTTGATATTCTAGCAATTCAGTCATTTTGACTTTCGCATAAAATTATTTTGATTATTGAACAAAAATTATTTTCAGATCTGGATTTAGCAGAATTGTTCTTTCCGTGTAGTTATTTGAATATTTAAAAGATATTTGGATAATTCTCTTTCTCTCTCTCTTTCTCTCTCTCAATGTATGTACGCTGAGAGAAAAATATAGTTGGAATAACCATAATTTAACTATAATTTATAGTGAATTTTGGGACAACAATTATAAAATTATAATTATTGTAATTATTGTTTGCAATAATTTAACCATGCAAATTATAATTTTAACAATGCATTATGGTTATACATTATGATTGATATTATTTTTTCAGTTATTATTTACAATACAAATAGTAAGCAAATGTTAAAAAAATATAGTTATACTTACTGTAATAATTGCAGTTGCATTTACTACATGAAAGTATATTTCATTTGTCTTAAACATATCTTGATATTTTACTATGTTAATATTTGAAATTATTATAATTTATAATAAAGTTTTTTTATATTTGATAGGACTATACATATAAGGTTATTATTACTAACATTATAGGAATAATAACTATAAAAATAGTGCCTTCTAATCATAATTTCTTTACTATGCAATTATAGTCACAAATACAAAATATTTTTCTCTCAGTGTATATCTTTTGTATCATTTAATTGAGGTACGTTATTTGTCAGCATTCTTTTGAAAAGAAAAAAAAATTTTCTAAATAAATATCTCAATAAACAGACTACACTAGCGAATGATTGTTTACTAATAAATAATTATTATATTATATTTTTTATTATTTTTGCGATTATATATTATGTATAAATTTCATATATTTAACTGTCATCTGAACTGATTTTTTTTTTAAACTATAACGTAATACTATTTGTAACTTTTGGATAGTTAAAATTTAAAGCAGTTATTCACAGAAGTAGTTGCCTCGTTTTCTAAAAAATATTCTATCAGAAATTTTAAATAATAACCTTTGATCGAAGATAAGACGTCACGTGATATTTAAACATTAAATGTAACACCACTTTCATCGCAAGTTGAACAAGATTCCTTAACCGGTCATTCACTGCTAAAATAAACGAAGACCCGTTCGAAAAACGGAACATGCTTATCGGTCTCACCTTGCTCATAATTTGTCCGATCTCGTCGCCGCCCATAAAGTTCTCCAAGTGTATCTTGATGCTGCGCAGCGAGAAGTCGAGGTCGAATCTCTTCATGTACATTCCTCTCGCGTAGCCCAGCACGGTGTTCACGTAAACGCGGAAGTCACGTATGGTCGTTTGGAAAGAGCCCGCGCCGCGCAGCGGGTACGTATCGCCCAGTATCCCGGAAATGTTGTAATGACCCGACGCGTAAATCTCGGGTATGGAGATGTTGATGGTGATGGTAGGGCCGATTAGCGATAGCTTGGCTCGATCAATCAGGAAAGTCGATAGGTTCCTCATTTCCAGATTCTCGATAACTAAGGATATTCTGAAAGGTATGGATTTACAGCGACGTTTACACACGTGTCTTGTTTGCATGGATATTAACACGTTGCGATCTCTACGTGAGCACTTGAATCGCGCAACAATCGATGTCTTTTAACGTCTAATTGTGAACATAGAAAAGCAAATAAGAGTTTTGAATATTCGCGTAAGAAGATACTTCCTAGAGAAGATACTATACTTTTCGAGCGGTAAAAAGAAATTGAAATATACGTAGATAAAAATCCAGGGTTGGATAAGTTATAATTTTTTTAAACTAAATTAAGTTAAAGCTAATGGCTTACAAAATTAATTTAATTAAGTTAAAAGTTGCATGAATAACAAACTAACTCAGTTAAAACTTGCGTTAAGATTAAACTAACTAAAGTTAAATTAAAAGTTAACTTTGAAAAACATCATTTATATTAAATTAAAATGTTGTTATTAAAAAAAATTACAATATAAATCAAATAAATTTAATATTTTATTTGTAAATTAAGTTTGTATGAAATAACAACGAAACTTTTTCATGAAAATGTTTTTTTCTTTTAAATAGGTAAATTTTTAACTTAAAAAAGTGAATAAGTTAAAGTTTGTATGTATTTAAAAATAATTAACTGAAGTTAATAATTACTCATTTACTCAAGTTAATAATAGCTCATTTAAAATTAACTAAGTTAATTTAAAAGTTATTAATTATTTAACTTTATTATTTAACTTTTAACTTCTTAATTAGTTACTATCCAGCCCTGATAAAAATTGTCGCAGGGATATGAAATTATAATATCAAACATGAAATCAATATTATAATTTTGATGATTCAATTCTCGATGCTGTACTAATAAAAAAAAATTGTCAACTTCCACGCTTTCCTGGCCATTTTATAAAGTTTAAATTCATGAAGTTATGACAATATTAGCGAAATTATTAATTATTAGCAAAATTATTTTTGGTCTTTCATTATTATTATTTTTTCCCCATGTTTATAGCGTGTTTTCTAAAACTGCATGTCGAGGTGAGATCTTCTTTTGTTCATCGAATCTTTCATAATCTCTGGAATCCCGTGTACACGATCGCGTATACCTCTCCGTCGACTCACTTTCCGATTTCTGGATTCTCCGTGTCGATGTCGATCTCGTCGAGAGTGAATGGCTCCAGCGGAGGGATACCCAGCTCTGAGATACCATTGCGCATCCGCGTGCGGAATTTCTCGAGGAATCTTTTCAACTTGAACTCGAGACCCCTCGAAGCCGCGCTGTCGACTATATTCAATTCGAAAATTATTATAAACGCAAATATAGCTGTAGATATATAGTGCGGTACTGAGATATGCGCGTGATACTCACTATATCCAGTCGTCACCCTGGTGGCGTTGAGCAATAAATTCCTTGGCTTCTCCACCGCGCTGGTTACTACAATCAGAAGAGACAAAGTTGTCTCTTTTTATTTGCATTCCCGTTTGTCTCGTTTATCTTATTGCGTCTACTTGTTATTGTCGCTGCTTAGATATTAACTCTTTCAATGCCGCGAGAACTGAGCTTCCTGTGTGTGTTGTTATATCAGCTCCGTTTTATTATACACGCGCAAAATTACACGCGAATTTCCCGTGAAAGAGCGAACGATTATTTATTTATGACCAGTGTGGAGAATAACAGAAAACAAAACAATTATTGCACATTTAGTGAGATTTCGACTTAGCGTTATGAATTATGTGTATTTAGAAACGTATTGCACAAATAAAATAATTTTATAAATTTTATGAAAATTATTATTACTTTCTAAGAGAAATTAATTTTTAATTTTTTCTTTGAAAAAGTAGCGAGCAAAATTAATGAAATCTTATTTTTTATACTAATATTAATCGAAAAATTATTTGTCGAGAAATTATATTTATTTACTTCTGAACACAATAGAAATGCAATAGAAATTTACATTTTATATTAATCAATATAATATTGGTTTATTATAAATACAAAATGTAAATTATTAAGGGAAACACATCATTATATTATTAAATTTATCACAATTTAAAATTATATAACGTATAAATTAAAATTATGTAACTGTAAAATTATGTATATGATATTAAATTCGCGAAAAGGAATTGAATTACCGAGAGATAATCAATCAAAACACACAGGCTTCTCAACATCGAAAGATCGAAGACAAAAGCGCGGAAATAATTTCAAGCGTAACATAATGAGATTGTTAATTAATCAGCATTGCGATGATTCCTCAATGTAATCTTCTCGGTCTTTGACATCCATTCATTTGCATTTAAATAGAACACATAGCACGTCGGGATCAGACTGCTAATTTCGCGATTTCATTGGAATATGTATTACGTTGTTGTTCGCTTTTAGCACTCTATACTTGGATGATACATTATTGACCGGACTTAACGTATGTATCTCACGATAATGTGTCGTTATAATTATCCGAATTACGCCGTTATACGCCGTTAATCACGCAGTCGGCGAGTCTCGCGTCGCAGATTAAGATATAACATTGCAGTTGTTTTTCTCTTTCGAGGAAAGAATGTCCGATAATTATATATCCACGATAATTATGTCTGTATATTTTTTTTCGTGAACAAAATTTCAAACTTGATAAAATGCAAATTAGCCTGATTGTAATCGCGCAAATTTGAATTATCAAAGCATATAACGTCACTTAGATTGTCCCTGAGTAGATCTTTCTCAGTTTTTCTCATTTCACAATTGATTTTGACAATCCTATCCTGGATAAGTAAAGCGCGAAACGTTCAATTTGTTTGGGATTATTTCAGAAATGTCATAAACGAAACGCGACTCGATACTGCTTTTACGCAAAAAGTAATTAAGAAGCGATCTGGGTCGCGATCACTTCTGTAATGCAATTACAGGCGCATCGCTCGCCGTAATAAGGAGAAACGCAATCTCTTCTCAATCAAAAGCGTCGCGCGCGCCGCGTTCGTGTTATTACAGGTCGAATTACTGTATTTCTCCGCTAAACGTCTGCATGTTTGCGTCTCTTGAGCTTGTCGCGACTCCACGCGCGCTCGGGAGTTTACTTTAACGTGAATTACGTTCTTCGACGCTCTGCGGAAGTGATATTAGTCGCTACTTTAGACATGCGCAGGCGTTTACGATTGCAATCTTTCGAGATCATTTGATACATAAATTTTAGAAAATTATATTATCCTAATTTTAATTGCTTCAACAAAAGATATTTAAAAAATATAGGTATCACAAGTCGTTACACAACATAATATATTTTTATTAACAGTGTAGGAATCAAGAATTTCAGTTTTAATTCCTAAACGTCTAAATTAAATTCAAAAGATTAAGTAAAAGTATTTCTATATACAAAATGTTTCTTTCTAATTAAGCTTATTGTATAATTTACATAAATAATAATGTAGCAAATTAATATAATTGTCAGTAGCAATATTAAAGAGAAGGACGGTTGTAGGATCCTTTGAGGCCTTCTAAATAAAAGCGTATCTATCTCAACATTATTTCCCTCATCAACAGCTGTATAATGCACAAGCATTTGCAAATTTTGAAAAGCCCTGTCCCTTCTTGCTTTTCTCTTTGAAAGCTGCGCTGAAGCCGCACTGAAGCGTAAAGAGGATGCACAAGCCCTTGAATAAACATTGCAATTAATGCGAACACATACTGTAGTCCGCGGCAGTGTCCGTAACGCGATGCAATAGTTCTTTTTGCCGTTGCACGACTCCCGTTACTGTAACAAACGATTACAAGTCAACGAAGCATCCTACCAAGACAGAACCGATTAATCAGTGGTTGGAAAGCACATTTAAAATTTTCTGCAGTATAATTATCGCTAACACCTTAATAATTATTAATAATCATTTTCAGCATGATGCAATAATTAATCCTTTCGCACAATACAATATAAATCGTTGTTGATTTTAAGAACAAAACACGATTTTTGCGCGACGTATAATATTTGTGCCAAGGATGCCCCAAATAATATTTTCAAAATCAGATCAAAGAATAAGATTTATTATAATTATACAGGGTATCCCGAAATTCGCGAATCAAAATACTTTTAAAGAAAGTCTTCGAAAAATTAAGTAAAAATGTTGTTTGCAAATTTTCAATTTAAGCAGTAGTTTTTGAGATATAAGATTTTAAATTTAGCCAATTATATAATAGATTACGATTAAACGGAAACATATCCATGAGCGCGTCGTAGTGTTGGTGATCGCGCACTTCACACGAGTACTAATCTATAATTGGCTAAATTTAAACTCTTATAAATATAATACAGTTAAAAAGTTTATTTTTAAAGGCTTTGTGATAATATTAATCAAATAATAAGAAATGTATGCCAATAAGAGCCCAACGCAGATGTTAGCGCGCGATAATCTTTATTAACATAATACAAACAATTATAACATACGTTTCCATAGATTTGGATCTTCCTCAGTGTCAAATACGAATATAATAGTTACATAATAGTCCGAGTTTATTTATAAGTCCAATATTGGTGTGAGGAAACTTACAATCACCATCGCTCATCAGATTTTGTGTGAAAAAGTTTTATGTAAGTTTATGCTTTTAATTTTTAACTGATTTATTCAGTTAATTTTCTACCTAATTATCACAATTTCTAATTTAATTTGTATACTCATACCCCCATTGTTAAATTGACGCATAACATATTTATCTGGTTTGATCTTTTTAAATTAGAGGTGCGACATAATAATGGTCAGGAGTTGGTTTTTTCACACAAAATCTGATGAGCGATGATGATTGTAAACTTCGTCACACCAATATTGGACTTATAAATAAGCTTGGACCATTATGTAACTATATTCGTATTTTACACTGAGGAGAATCCAGATCTATGGATCGAAACGTATTGTTATAATTGTTTGTATTATATTAATAAAGATTATCGCGCACTAACATCTGCGTCGGGCTCTTATTGGCATACATTTCTTATTATTAAACCCTTATATCTCCAAAACTATTGCTTGAAATAAAGATTTACAAATAACTGTTTTACTTAATTTTCATTCGAAGACTTTCTTGCTATGATACTTTAATTCGCGCATTTCGGGATACCCTGTATATACTTATATATACGCATTATATTTATTGTAATCTTCTTTTAAATCCCCGATGCGTCGTTAACGTTAATCTAAATTATCCGGCATCGTGTGAATAATATTTAAAATATATTTTACACGTCTCATACATATATTTTTTGCGATCGCGCTTCTCTTCGTTTTTCCCCAGAAATTCAAGAATAGATTACATTCTAGATCACCTGAACGCTTTTACTTTGATATTAATGCCTATCATGCAACATAGAGGATGTTCGCCGGCTTCGTGCACATTGCATTTGGCAATCAACCCGCTCAAGGCGCCTCTTTATTCGCGTTAATTAAACCGTTTGTCGACGGGGCGGCGCGCTGATTGCGGATGAGAAGATCGACCGTCATGAATCCGAGAATTGGCCTATGCGCTGGGCCGCGGGACCAGCTAAATGCGCATCCGGCGATTCTGGATATGGTAATTAAATGATTAATGGAATTTCAAGCAAGGGTTTTGTTTTACCATAACAACAAAGGAACTTTAGCGCGCGGCGATCGGCTCTCCGATCGAGAACTGCAACGAGAATGTTAAACGCACGTATCCCGCAATTCCGGTATGATAATTAAATGATTAATTGAATTTCAAGCAGGGTTTTGTACTCTCGTGGCAACAAAGGAGCTAGTAACACGCATTTACTGCGCGACTTACAATAGCGCTGTTATGTGAAAGAGGACCGACAAAAAGTAGTTGTCGCATAAAGTGGATTGCGCTCTCTCGCCGTGGATTTGTTATTCGGATCCGATGTAAAACGTAAAGTGTTTTAACGGATTCTTTTTTGCGGTTTAACGGTCACAAGCCGTTACATTTGATTTGCTGCGCTCAGATGCGCTTCGATGTACCTATATTAACGTTGCATGTTAAAAATCCTGCGAGCGTTTCAGTTTCATTTTTAACGCGCTTATGTGACGACGTAATATAACGTAGCTATAACAGTGGTGATTTATTTATTTATTTTTAAATTGCGCGACCAGCAAGCGATCGAATAAAACATTTTAATTGGCACCAAACGCTAGATGATCTTTGTAATCCGCAGGGTTAGGTGTAAGTTAATTTTTCTTTTTAACTAACAAGGGAACCTCGCGAAGTGTCAAATTCTGATTTTAATGAAACTTGGTACACTTTGAGGTCACATAAATAGATGAATTTAGAAATTATCAGTTGGTGCTA